CCTTCGTTTCCTTACGGGAGCGGTTAGAATCGTTCTAAGGGACCTATTCAGATCTCGCATCGTATATTACTAACAAGAATAGGCGAAGCTAAAGCCGCCCGAGATCGTGAAGTATTTTAATATAATAAACCAATATAAGTAACATCTATTTTCAACTATAAACGGGTGTTTCGAGACCGTAGTGCGGGAACAAGTATTCTACTCAGCAGCGCATCGGGTAGAAATGACTCGGTACGACCAGGCTGACATTGCTTCTATGACAATCGCGCGTGTATTCATCAGGTAACCATGAAGTATGAGTCAACAAGGTTTAGAGCTGCGACATTATACAGATATGCTAAAATCATTTGATGTTTCTTGCCTCTGTGTTAAACAGATACCGCTGTGCGCATATAAAAAAAATCGGTTTCCAAAACAAGACGCCTTTAGCTTAATTAAATGCGTGGATAAGACTCGATGGCCAAAATCATTATGTACGTTGCGGGCCTCTTCGTTAGAAGAAAAGGCCAGGAAAGAGTTGCAAAAAGGACATCATTAAGGAAAAGCGCGATCCTAAAAATAAACAAAAGAATGTAAACGAAGCAATATTAAATCTTGAAGTTTGCGTTCTTATAGCACACGGCTCGTTGAAAGTTCTTGTTGATTTTGAATATGATTATAGGGCGTAAAGTTTTCGGAAACGGCTATCTGAACAGGCCGGCAACTTGATTGATAATAACTTTCTTCTTATGTATCTGGGCACAGAGCATTACTTTATTCCTTAATAGCTCGACGTATTTGAACGACCGCATTTTGAAAGTGAATTTTTTTATTCACGTAAGGGTCTCTCAGATTTAAACGACGAGGGGTAGATTACCGATAACGTACTTGACTAAGCCGCCGCTTTGAAAACGTGCGTTGCAGACATGTTTTGTTCCCTATCATTAGATTGAGAGCGTAACGGCAGATTGCTACTGCCAGCTCTAATTGAAGAGGGCAAAAGCAATTGAAAGTATGGAGGAAATGGAGGATAAGAACGAACGTTTGTGTTTTGCTGCTACCAGCAATACGAGTAGATCTGAGTTAATATGGGAAGCGAATCCACCTGCGTTGAACCGAACCCTGGAATGACGTTAATTGTGTTCAACTCCTCGAGATCACTACCATCGACTACTACCACGTTCCTTCCTTTTAGTTCTCTTCTGTCCGTGGCCATGCCCCGGCCTCACTGCTGCTCCCCTCGTACCCGCACATACGCATATACTTACCGGAGCAGAGAATCTATCGAATTGTTTCCCTTAACTGTCCCTGGACCGTTCTGCCTGCCCGCGTGCCGGTTTGAGGATATCGACAGCTCCTCCTGCGAAACCACCGCTGGTACCATCCTCCTTAACGGGCGGCAGCCAGGCAGGCGTTCGCCGAAACGCGTTTGTCGATACCTCTACTGCCACAGCACGAATCATCGGTCTTCTCGCTCCTCTATCATAACCACGATGGCAGGAACTGACGGGAACAGAGCAAGCCCAAAATGAACTCCTCATGTAGGAACCACGCGGTGCTACGCGGCCTGGCGGAGAGCAGACTAAAAAGATAGTGCATCTGCGCTGGCAGTAGCAGCAGTAGCAACAGCAGTAGTCGTAGCTATGGTATTAAGGTAATGTCAGCAAAGTTATAGCGACGGCCCCAGTGCTAACATAGCACACGAAGAAGTAGTCCTATTCTGTCCTATCAAACACGGCTTCATGCCATGTCGGCAAGTTATAGACAGGGAACGCGCAGAAAAAGAAAGACGACCGTTTGGAACAGAGCAGCGACATCGTATTACACGCACCCTTCAGATAGAAATCCAACTACCCGATGGCCTAATCATTGTAGCTCATCTGACACTTGTCAAGCAAACTGGTGGTTCCGCTGGGTTGGGTATCTCTGGCAACCATTCTGTTCATTTGCCCGATTAATCTGCAGTTGCGGTACCTCCGGATGTTTGACGCTCTTCCTATCGGCTCCTCCAGAATGTGTCACTACTACAGGCTGTCGATACAACCGCGACTCACTCAATAGAGACCATCAATACATGCATCTGCTTCATTTTCCTATTACGCGTTCTGTTTTATCCACTCCTTTGTGGCTTCTCTTTAGTATTACTCTCTGTTCCTCAATGTTTGCAAAGGCTTGCCCATTCTTTCCGTGTATGTCCGTTCGCCTGTCTCTTCACTGTCTTGCTCTCCGAGTGTCTGTTTTAATTACGGATAATTTGAAACGCACATACGGAATCATTATACAATACATTATACGATGGTCGAGCGTAAATAGCGCAAACGACAACGGATCTGGAGGGACGTAGCGCGGAGAAACAAAGAACAAACGGCGATAGGCGCGAGCTGCTGCCCTCAAAAGACGACGCAAACTCAGTCTGTGCATGCGCTCCTTCCCTACCTCCCTCTCTGGCTCATTCTCGGAGTCCGTGCCCCGTCGTCAAGCCAATGCTAACCAAGCAGTAGGAGAAGTAGGCCACGCAATATTATCATGCGTCTCGTTCCGTTGCACGATACGTTGGATGACGAGATGTCCGACAGAAGAACGACAACGATGAAGGCTGCTATTGCTACGATCGTGAGTGCTACGGTCAAAGGCACATCGCATTTTACAACGACAAGAGCGCACGGCAGAGAGGACACGAGAGAAGATGAATGCGTAATATCGGAATAACCTGAGACGTAACCAAGAGAGAAGGGGGCCATTGGGCGTATGGGGCAAAATGCGAGAGAGTGAATTGTATGTCGGCCTGTATTGGACTGAGCTAAGCAGTGGTCAGGAACCGACCAGGTCCTGGACCACCATCTAGACACACTTGGCCAGACTGGATCTCCGACCGAGTGCTGATAATGTGTGTAATGCCGTACGCGGTGATAAGCATGCAGAGAGTACCTCTGTGTGTTCATCGTTTTGCTAGAGAAGCTCAACATCGTCGTTTCTAATGCCACCGCCTTCTGCTGCTGCTGCTACTAGAGCTGTTACTGCTTCTAGGAAACTGCTGCTTTTGCCATAGAATAACGCGTAGACCGGCAGGCCAGCCATTGCACCGACGTCTTTCTTGCAGCGAACGTAGCTGAGTTTCGTTGCTGTATATCCCGTTCCCGAGCCATGTGTGGAATGGTTCTGCTGTTGTGGAATCGGTGGTGGAACCGTACCGCTGCCTTCGCTACGCAGGCGTTCGGCTGCATCTTATACAGATTGAGTGCCACGCGTAGTGAATGCAACAGGCAGAAAAGTGACTGGATGATTGGCGACAAGGGCATCGATGCTACACAGATAGCTTCATCATAACGCCTTGCAGACGCAGTCACATGCACATACGCTAACGAATAGGGACCGTAAAAGGAAGCGTACAGAGCTACAGAGGAAATGCTCAAATGAAAGGCGCGCAAAAGGGAACAAGGTAATATGCGGAAATAAACAAAGAAACAGAAAGCCATTCGATTTACCAGTCCACTTGCCGCCTGTTGGCGATAACATGAAACGCAGTAGCGTTCCTGACTGTTTCATCATGTGCAGTTGGTGCAGGCAGCCGTAGCAATAAGCAAGACCTTACGCGCAGAGACGTGCTCATTATTACTCTGTTGCTAGATTAGTGTGGCCTAGAGGCCGGCTGCCCCTGTTCCCCTAAGAAAGGATAGTCTCCGTTCCCCTACTGCACCCCGTACCGTAGGAATTTGCCGATAGGAATAGATGGAGGAGTAAAGAACGAAGACGAAAGGTGCGCTGTGGGTAAAAGTTAGCGCAGACTCGCTCGTAGTGTGAGGATAGGAAGACGCCATGAAAACTGAAGGATGAACCAGCAGACTTTTCTCATGTGAGGTTTGTTGCCTGTCACTGTCTGCTTCTGGTACGACTGCTGCCGCCATCCAAGAGCACGAACAAAACAAAGAGACCTTTAAGGGTCTGTCTGCCGTCAGCGATTCATTGAAAGCGAGAAAACGCATGACGGGAGCAACAGGTATTTAGCTGAATACATGTATGAAATGTAGTGCCTTCTGCCCAAAAAATGTATGAATCTGTACATAATATGTAGATTCTTATATACGCGAGCCACTTAAGTGTAGAGGAAGAACCCAAATAGAAAGAAGTGTAAAACGGAACAAACAGATAATAGCGGGTGGTCCTTACAATGAAGCCAAGTTCGTCTAAATATATACGGACAGTACTTACACACAAGGGTGAATCATTCTTAGAACCTTTGTTCTTATGGAACAGTGAGCAAAGCTGGCAGAGTGAATAAAAAAAACGCAAGTTTGAGGAGACTTTTTCCAGAGATGAAAGGTTAAATTAAAGAAAAGAGAAGCCACAGGTATCAGGACCATTAACAGGAACGCACCTAACGTAGGCTCTTCAAACATGACAACAGTTTATTTGGAAAAAATGAATAATATCCTTTGACGACATCGCATAGTAGTCGTCATGCGTGATCAAGTGCATAAGGAAGTTGCTAAAATACGGGCATATTTCAATTGCAAAATTGTCTAAGTGGCGCCAATAGGAAACTTGGACAGTTCTTGTTTTTTTTTTTTTTTTTGTTAATCTTCATGTCATATATTTCTAGCTGAAATAGGCTGAAATAAGTCTTGCATACCTATTTGAGTAACTTTTGTCAGCAGTTTCTGATGGTTACAACTAACCATTAAGTAAACCTGTAACCTCAATAATCTTCAGCGTTCGGTCATAAGAGTGTGCGATAGCACATACGAAGTTGTTTACGCAAGTTCTTTCAACGTCCAATTTCAATATCTGCTTTGTCTTCAGCTGTAAATACTAGGATAAAACCATTCGACCAATCCCATCGCAACAATATTTTCTTTGACATATTGTTACATTATTATTTATGCTTAGCGAGCCAATTAATTATCCAAGTGAAAACAAGAGCTCAAATTTGTGTTGCCAAAGGCAGTATTTTCTTAAGGTTTTTATGATACGTCAAAGGAATACTCTAATTTTGCGTATGGCAGACAAAAAGCTGCGCTTACCTTTATTCCACACGATAGACTCTAACGGATAGCCGATGACCCGACAATGTAGAACTACGTCTCGTCCGGCGACGACTGACCGATTGGCCATTGGTCGAATGGCAAGGCGGCCCTTGACATTGATCCGCCCCGCAAACGAAACAGCGCCAGCGCTGTTAGCCGCTTCGCATCGCCATTCGCCTCCATCATCAACCTTTGCGCGGCTGATGTTCATCCAGCTGATCACTTGTCGACTGTCGCCTGGGACACCAAATCCATTCACGAAGTATCCGCCACGATCTGGCACTACCTGCGCATCGTCGAGGAACCAACTGATTTCAGGCGCAGGGGACCCGGTGGCGCTACACTTCAAGGCAGCGGCCTCGTTTGGCGTCAACGTGAGCGATTTGAAGCTTTCAACAATCACCGGAGCGGAGTCTGCGATACAACAACGAATCAACCGTGCGATAGGTTATTAGCGCGTATATAAAAGCATTGTAGCACTTGAACACAATTGGAAACTGTAGTTGTTTATCCTGTGTATACCTTTGTTCACTTTGTTTATGAAGTGGACGGCACGCAAGATGCACACTTATGCCCTTATTGGCTATGTGCGTACCAACAATGGTTTGGTACAGCAGCATCCGATGCAGAACCGATCCATAGAGCATCTGTCTGTTTCGAAAATTAAACTTACTGCAATAGCCGACAATCGAATTAATTACGGAGAATAACAGCAGTCGTCGCTGTCGGCGTTGTTGATACATTCAGAGAGGCATGAATAAGATGGATTACATTTAGAACCATCCCGATTATAGTGGCCCACGACAAACGCGTTTGCGTGAAGGAGCTGCCGTAACCCATGACCATCCTCCTCCCGCTGCCTCCTCCTAGCTCTTGATATCCTTGCACTCCTTTGAGTGGTAAATTAGAGAGCGGTTGTTTGTTCGGTCTAGGCGGGTTTCGACAATTCTCTTCAATCCTATTCTAACTCGCCAAAATACTGGCACGGCATGGATGTACGGATAACATCGTCCGAACATCACGTGCCTTGAATTAAGTACACGCACTCTAGTGCAGCCGCCTACCACAGCATCGGCATGCGCGAAAACACCCGGCTACACTTAATCGCTTGCCGTCCACCGCTTACATATGGAATCGTAAGGGAACGAACATATAATGGGACGGTGGGAGCCCAAATGGCTGTATGAAGCGCTTTCCCCCTATGCTCCACATGCTTACAGGCTACCCTTCCGTCGAAAAGAAGAGCTGCGCTGCCGGCGCACACTGGTTTCGACAGCCAAAAATTGCTGCCAGACAGTGCAGGGAGTATGAAGTAGCGGCCAAAGCGACGATGGCCAGTTTTGAATGTTGAATGAATAATCAATGGATGTCAATGAGAAATAGCTGGTGATTTCCGTCGAGGACGAAAAGGACGACGGGAGAAGGGAGAGCAGGTTTTTTTTTTGGGGGGGGGGGGGGGGGGGTTATTCATGAGCGAGTCATACATGATGCCTAGTGATGATGACATGGATAAATGCGGTCATGGTACTGTGCAAATTGCGAGAAAAGAAGATGGGGTCAAGAGGTGATGCGGAGGCAGAAAGGCATAAGCTTCTTGCCCGTTGTCGCTGACTGATGTTTCCCAACGGTTTGTTCAACAATTAATCTACAATATGAGAGTCAGTGGCCTGCAGGCCAGCACAGCTCGTTTCTGAAAAACGTGAGGGGAGTGGCGGCGTGTATTAGGGATAGCATGCACTAGTCGCGCGAATAGCGGCGATATGATTTGATAAAAGCGCAAGTCTGTCAGCTCTTCAATAGAAAACCGGTTGTAGTTTTGGGTCTGGTGTAAGATGGGGTTAATGAGGTTGACTTCGTTAGGGTCAGGAGTTGTCTAGCAGTATAATACTTAATGAATCGTAAACATATGCAGCCAGTACGGCGGAACTTGAATGTCTGTGCAAGCAAGCGATTAATATAAAAGGCCTATTACAACATGGCTTAGTCTCAATATATCTCATAAGAGCAGCCAATGGTAGCTGCGATATCACTCGTAGACCATACTATGAGATAGTTCATGTGTTAATAACCTAAGCTTCTGTGGCTAGCTTGTGCATATAATCTATTATGTATAAATGACATAGAGTTAAATACTCAACGAGTGCTCCCTGATAACATTCGACCAAAATATGTATTTACTTTGACCTGTATTTACTAGTATTTTGTAGTGCGTCGTATATCTTGTCGTATTAATATAAGTTACGGGAGAACAATGTCAACGTCTCCCTGTTTGGCCACGCCGATTTCCTTGACTCCTTATCTATAATAAAGATACTCTAACACCTATTACACCTAAATGCCATATGGTATGTAACTTGCCTCCAAGCGTAAGTTGTGCAGTTCCCTGGGCCGACGCTCCTTGACTGTCAGCTACAAGGCACTGGAACATACCTCCATCGTAGCGTTGAATTGAGTTTATGTGTAGAATACGTCCATTTGATAGAAATTCAAAGCGCTCGTCTCCTAGAATCGGCTGTCCATCTTTCAACCACTGGATGTTATCCACATGGTTCTCATTAACGGAACAGTTTAGCACTGCACTTTTGCCGATATGAACTGTCAATAGGTGGGGTACGAGCGACACGCGAAGCTCAGCTACAACAAAAAGAGTAACGAAATTTGAACATGTTGCAAGATGCGGCTTAACGTACCCCCTTTAATAACCACATTTAATTACCGTCACGGTTGTAAACGTTTCCATTCATTAATGGAAAACAACATATTTAAAACCCTTCCCTCTCTAAAAAAAAGCCCCGGGCTTATAAATGCAGGGGATTGATTTTAAATTATAATGGTGATGTATATAGATTCCAACAACAGTGAAATGAGAATATCTGTGTGTCTTTTTTGAGTAGGCAAAGCACATGATATATTCTGGAAATATTTTTCTAAGAAGACAATTATCTGTTGCAAAGGGACAGGGATGGTCTTGCATTTGGCTTACGTAGCAGCGATGGTGCAAAATGGGCTCCGCATCCGCCCAGAAGCGTATACCTAGCCTTCGTCTCAGCTCTTCAAAAGCATTGAACGTAAACAGCTTCGCTGTATGGTGTGTTTTCATTCTTCGGGGTATTCGTAGACGTTCCGGCAGTACCAGTCAATTTTGCCTACGGCCTTCAGGCTTTACAATCCCTGTTCGCGAACACAATGTATTATTTACTAAAGGCGCTCCTCAGCTTTGTACTCCTAGCCTAGGGAGCTCCAACGTAGCCATACGCGGCATTCGTTCATTGGAACTCTCTATCTCTACACAGTTTCTCTTTCTCTCAAATTCATTCTCTTAGTGTCCTCTGCGCTCTCTTGTGGATGACACCCCTTTTACTGAATCCTCATCATGCTGCAGTGTGAGGTCCCCTTTTAGGTTAGGCTCATGAGTGGCAGGAGAAGTTTATCGGAGGAAATCCTTCTAAATCTTCCGCATCCACGACGTTTTGTGCAGAGTTGTCCATTTCGATATCTCTCCTGGGATTTCGGTTTTTATTGTTTCTTCTCTGGTTCACCCCTGTGGAAGCCTGCCCTGCCAGAGGGCCTGGCCGCAATGCCTGTTTGCCTACCTTACCCACTTCTATACGACAGAGGAGCCCGGTAGGTCTCGTTGCATGTTATGCCAGCTTGTCACCCTTCTAGTTTCCGCTCTGTCCCGTATATTCGAAAGTTCGTAACCAAAAGGTATCTGCTGGATATGACTGCCCCATTCAGACGAGCTAGTCACGATACCATCTTACGCCCCTTCATATCAGCAACAAAGCTGCAGCCGAGCTTTGCTTTGAGTAGTTAGCAAACCGATCGATGACCGAATTGGCGAACGAAACCGACCCAGGTCGAGTCGATTAAGCCGATCAACCCATTAACTTTAACTAGCACTCACAATTCGTACCCTATCGTTAGCTTCCACGGGTGGCTCCTCGCGGGGAGCGCGGTGCGCGAAGTACCGATGACAATGCCCATTTTCGTTATCAGAAAGACCGCAGCTGGTGGGACTCGAACGTGGTGGAGTTGGGACCACTGCCAAGCTTAACAAGAGGCAAGATGAAGAAACTGACGACTACCTTCATCTGTTTTTTAACGGTAGCGCAAATATCTCTTGGATATTACATTTTCCACCAGCCAGCCAGCTAACAGCCGCCAGGAATTATGTGTTGGCTATAGCAAATTCGCGTTAGATTTATTAGACAAAAATGTATACTTATACATTTCTTGGTAAAAATACACCCACATATTATTTATTTTTTCAAAGTGAAGAAAACGTATTTTGTCATAGAAACAAATCAAATCTAGCCAAGTTACCCTTACTTTACACAGAGCGGAATCAAAATAGTATACCATAATAGTTGACCCTGATATATAATAAACAACACGCAGCTGTATGAGGTAAAACTAGGTGAGGTAGTATTTGGGGTAAGGTAAAGAAATGTAATGTCAAAAACCATATGCCAGATAGCACGCCGCAAAACCCCGATTCAACTAATTGAATCTCGATCTACATACACATAAACAAAGCGCTAAAATTAGAAGTAGCTTCGGTTTCTGTTGACAAATATGGATTTATTTATATTATGACAAATATGGAACATATTTTTTCTTGGAACTCCTGAAACAGAAACAGAAAAGCTAATGCAGGCCCACTGATTCGAGGTGGCGGAAAACTCGAAACGTATAGCAACGAGGGCTCAACCACAGCGTTGGATTTATAACTTCAGCGCAGATCTAACTTCTGATGAGCCCCACAGGAATCATTTGGTCCTATCCGAAACTCGTTTACAGCAGTCCAGCTATTAGTTGTGACAAGCTCAAATTAACATAGACGGTGTTACTCCTACACTGGCGGGCCCGTTGTACGATCAGAGACACTCTACCAGCAGACATTCGGCAAAGTACTAAATAAATCTGCGTAGTAATAATTGATTACTTGTGTAATTTATTGATCTGGCACTGTGTCATTATATAAATGACAATAAATAATTCTTTTAGTTATTCTTTGCGAACTTACCCACTATATATATGTATGTATATATATATGTACATATATATATATGTATATATAGATATATAGCTGAATATCCGATGCTATCAAATATATTACATTTTGTAGCAAGGTTTCGTATATTCCTATTGGTATACAGTCTTACGCTTATTTTTCTGAATGTGGTGAGAAATTCACACTTTTTTATGTATTTGTGTTTTTATTTAAGAATTTATTTGTGTTTCTATTACAACAACAAGCGACAACCCTTTATTGTTTCTAAACATCTAATATACAAAATGAATATTCACATGTAAGCTGGTCGTGCAAGGCGTTACTTTCTACCATCATCTGGTTGGATAACATGGGCAAACACCAGGGCCCTAGTTAGGTTGTAGTGTGATATATATACATATATACATACACGTATAAATGAACCTACCCGCAACGTGCAAGCTGGTGAAAGTGCGTTCCTCGCCGACCTGGTTGCTAACAATGCAAACGTATCTGCCCGAGTCCCCGGAGCGTACCTTTTGCAGCAGAAGCGAGCCGCCCTTGAGTAGATAACGGTGGCTGGGCAGCGTTGTCAGACTCTCGCCCACTGCTTTGTACCATCTGAAACGCGATCAGTACCAGGCAGGCGCCAAACGGTGTTCCGAAGTCGTCCGGTCAAGCAGCAAGAACGAGAAAGAGGTAGAGAGACCAAGCCAAGCCAAATAACATCAGATCAACAATATCAAAACCTAACAAGACACTATCAACAGAAACCATGCGTGAAAGAATGGTCCGTACGCGCGCTCAAACACTCCGGCAGGTAGAAGACCAAAAGAGAAACACTATTCGGTATGACTGAAACCGAGTACAGACTGTGGGCAGGCGTGATCTTCTGATCGGACACATGTACACCCACAGGTTCGCAGACGGACTTTGTCACTGCGGCCGATATCAAGCCCGAAAAGGAGAGGGCAAAGAGGCGCAAGACGCGGACAAGGATGGAATGACAATGGGCAACAATGCCTCTTTCTGTAGCGACTTTCTTTCGACTTAGGCTGTTACTGGACGCCCGTCGCTCGCAGAATACTCATCTTAACCTTTCTGTTTACTTGTAGTGTAGGTAACGGACTTGGAGTCTGAAATATCGCGGTGCTAATGAGTTATGTTCGGGTGTACATGATTCTCAGATAGTTTCTCTCATAATGCCCTCGGTAGCCTCAGATGTCCGACAGCCGGTAAAGGGATAAGTGATAGGACATTTTATTGGACTCTAAAATGAATATATAGATTGGTCGTAAGAGGAGCGGAGAGAGGCTCGAGGAGGTTGGGACGAATGAAAGAAAGACTGACTCTGCCAAGAGGATTTTAGCACTTTTAGAAAACTTTTAGTAGGTGGCAGATGGTGAGAGATACCGCTGTCTTAGTGGATGTCGGCAAATGGAAGGCGGTTCGGACGATAGACGCAAGAAGTGCAGAATACATAGGTAGTTATATAAAAGGTGTTAGTCATCTATTGTAAATGCTGATGTTGCGTTCATATACGCTGGTGCCAAAGTTCGCCCTTATGACATGCTTGTAAACGCCGCCAGTGAAAACATAATAAGTAAGCTAGTGAAAGCTACTGTAGGTAAGCTGGAAAAAACAACGCCTTTTGACAATAAAAAATTGAGTAGATGTGTTTGACGACGCCACGAAGCTCCATCGTGCCGGTCGCCGATAGCACTGAATAACCTTGGATCTCAGCGTGGAGAACTGGGCTCTTCCTTCAAATCTGAAACCGGGGACGCTGTGTATTGCTTCATTATATCTACAATGTGCTACTTCGAAGTCCACTTGCATCCGCACGCTCCATAACGAAAAAAAAGGTCTTAGAGGTAGACAGTAGACATCCGCGGCCACTGGCCGGAGTCATTCCTAGTACTTGTCGATGACATGAGTGGACCAGACTGTTCTGTCATACTACACTGATCGAACGGAAACCCAGATTCGGACTGCGACCGCGATACAGGTTTACTTTAGGACAAAGAAAGAACTGGTACATCGGATCGTCATTATTTTGGCCGGACGACCTTTAAGTATTGAACAGAGTGACCAAAACCTGCGCAAAACGAATGCAGCAGCATAATTTGAAAATGCATATTTGTTTCCTCAAGGAGTATGGTCCCTTATCTAAAAAATATAGTATCCCCATTTTACGATGTTTTTGGCACTGGTCATTGATCTTCTGATAATCAATTTTTCTTCACTCATTTAAATTTCGAACTGGTTTAGCCGCTATATCATTTTCTACTATTTCGATTTTTATCAATTTTAGTTAAGTCAATTTTTATAATAATAAATATAATAAATAAATAGAAAACTAGTTCAGTGAAATTTAAAACGATCCAGATACACACGAATAAGCCGTTGTGAGCTAAATTTCAAGGGACCGCCGAAATACCTCTAAAATTTCTAAGCCTCAAAGACCTTGTATATCATAAAAATCCAGAAATCCCTGTACATACAGGATCTTAGTTTCAGTAGGTGTCGTCGTCTGTATAAACTCTAATGGCCTAGCGGATAAGACAAGAAATCGATAAAAAATGCCGGCGATAAAATGAATGGACCTGCTCTATCAGAGTGTTGGAAAGTACCTTTGTTGAATACGCAGACACCATTGCATTAGCGGTAATAACCCCAGCCTTTGGCGCTATAGCCGGTAATCATCATACAAACGCCAGCGTCCCTGGTAATTAGCTCCCCTAACCATTGCTATAAACTGGTCAGTTCAAACAACTACAAGAACCATGATATCACATGCAGATCAAAAAGCCATCACCGAACGTACGCAAAAAGAAAGCAACGACAAGGAATAAATTGAATACGAAAATAAGCCGACAAGAAAAAGGCTCCGATGTAATGTAGTAATACTGTTCTACTCACACGTATTTAGGTGACGGATATGCTTGGGCGGCGCAAGGTAATTCGGCGTCTTCGCCAACCTTCGCCACAACTGAACCCTTAAAGTCGGTCATCTTCGGGGCAACGTTGATTTTTAGGTCGGTGACGATCAGGCGTCCGTACGAACTCAGCTTCGTTTCACCAGTGAGTGTGTGCTTCGCAACGCAGCGGAAATTCGTCAGACCATCAGACATTTGTACATTGCGGACATGAAGCTCGCCCGTCGCAAAGATACTGTAGCGTCCGTCTGAAAGCATTGCCAGATATGCCGAGGGGCGGAAGGAAAGAGGCCAAGGAAATCGTAAAGGATAGGAAAGAGCAGAACGGAAGAGCGAAACATATGGGGGGGGGTAAGGGAAGCCGCCAAAAAAGACAGATGCCTGGGTTTAGTGCCTTTGTGTGTCGTTGCATCCGTTTGTAGTTGTTTGCCCCGTTACTGCCTAGATGTTTCTAACCGAGCGGCAGAGTGTTTTCGAGCAGACAAAACCGTTTCGCACCCGCCACTGGACCATAAAATGTGTTCGTAGCTTTCGAAGATCCCATATCTGTCAATACAGGCTTTAAGTTGTTTTGTGTCGGACCTGCCTTTTTGAACTTCACTGTAGGAAGGAGGTGGAGAACGGCAATTTAAATGTGCGTACGTGTCTGTCTATACATGTGTTTAATGTGTCTTATTTGCAGTACCGATTTACTTACGCGATAATTAACTGATAAGCTTATTTTCAACTGATTTGACGGAAAGCATATTTTTACTTAATGTTATTATCTGGAGCGTTGAGATAAAAAAATATGTTAGCTGATTCAGCACCAAGAAATCTACCAATTAGCTAATAATCTGTGCTTTTATAGGAACGATGTGTGTGTCTAATTGGTATGTTAAGCGGGAACTGAAATAAATAAGAGCTATGCTGGATCTCATTGAATTTTTGCTTTTTTCATTAGGACGCTAATTCTTGACGGTATTTGTCTTAATTAAAATGGAAGACGTGAAAGACAACATGATTTGAAAAACTAATAGTTCCATAATAGACTAATAGGCGGGCAATCTGTTGAATAAAAATGACATTCACTCAGGTTTTTTCAAATCTAGTTGTCAGCTTCGGATCCTGACGAGAGGTAGTCGCGGGCTGATGGACGATTGATGATGCTAACGACAATGTAGCTAATGTCGTTTTTTACCATCTAAGTGGCAAATTTTTGTATTTATATGTCTATTTTTATAGTGTTACAGTATTTTCAAATATTATAGCGGCAAATTTCCATGACAGACAGATTTTCCCCCTCAACCGATATTTCGTCACCGTTAAGAGGATACGTCTCTTTTTGGGCTATCTATACATTATTGTGTTATATAGAAAGAAGGAAGACATATAAACCACGCACATACATCGTCATTTTAAACGATATGTAAAATATTAACAGCACAAGTGTGAATTTTTTTTACAGGTCTTTGTAGATTCAGACTAGTGCGAGCCTACAATGATCCCATAAAAAGGACATCAATACTACATCAGGGAAATATTGAGCTAACCCATAAATAGCAAGACTTCAAACCTGTCTTCAAACCCATATTTCGCCAACATTTCGGTTGATTCCTTGGCCAACAGACAGAGCGGTCGTATGCCGGAATTAGATACAGTTCATTAGAACGCTGAATGTCAAAATTTTTACATGTTGGAATTATATTGTTGTCCTTCTGTTTAGGACAATGAATTTCGTTGATACAGCCAAACAAGCCTTAATAATGAATCAACAATTGATTTTCATAATTTAAAACGTCTAGATGAACAGAAATTTCGACTAAAAGCCGGAACAGTTGGATGGCCTGCGTTAGATACTGGTTCCTTGCATAAAACCTCGTTAAAATCTGGGTGATTTTCATCTGTATAGTCAAATAAGCCTATTGGCATGCCAAAGGAGAGCTAATTTATATGTTAAGCGATCTTATCAATGACGACGGCGACAATTCGTATATGGTAGAAATATTCACAAGGACAGTGAATAGCCTTTGCCGTAATGTTTATTTATAGCAACATCTGTTTTCAATTTTCCAGCGCAAACAAAATTTGGCCCATATCGGCCGCGCTTCCGAAGGCATTACTTGATGTTAATGGTCTCGGATCTACTTTCTCGGACAACCTGCCTTTCGTTGTTACGTGTAACGTTTGCCGTTGGTGGCGAGTGCACATAGAGTAGGCAAAGCATAAGCATGCAATCCTGTTTGAAGATTGCTACTCTAGATCTTCTCGAGGCTTTTTATATAGCTTTCGTTTACTCCATCTGTTGCTTGTTCGCTAACTTTTGCATCGAGTGGTATCAATACGCTGGAGCCGAACCGCCGGACGTGAGACCATTACTTCTTTGTTGTCGCATTACGATCAGGCTAGTGCTGTTATTTCTTTGTCTTCTTTTCTAAAGATTATGCCTTTGTACATGTAACACACCCCAACGCCTTGTCGTGTATGCTATGTCGCGACTGCATTAGCTGGTTAGGCGATCCGTCAGTATCGGAGTTCCGCGTTGCTACGATCTTCAGGGCACGCACTGTCTTGCCATTCCCTGCCTTTCTGTCGCCACGTTCAGAAGCGACAGTGGGCACAGCTAAAATATCAATATACGGAAGCCATCAATGTGAGGGCCGTATTCAGTTATTTGCTTGTATGATTATTAGAAATGCCGCTGGCGCGTCTCCTACGCCAACTTTCGTCGCCTCGATTGCTCAATAACGTCTGCTACAGGGAAGGGTTGAGCCGTCCTCCCACGTTTCACAGCTCTATGGCTGCATACAACAATAAGCAGGTATACATCTCATTTTTGTGTCTCTACATTTGTAGGCGGACTAGATCTGACTAGATCTTCTGTGGATATATTCACGGATGCGTCCGCATCTCGTTTCAGAGTTATTCTCGACACAACAGACACTCTCGCTTAGTTTGAGATCCATGAATAGCTTTGGATCGTAGTCACAAAACAAACGGCCGCGCTCCTTCACGTTCTCACCGGCATTGAATCGAAAGCCTTTGGAAAAACAGTCGCCTTGTACGAGTGTGTGTGTGTGTGTGTGTCGAGCGGCCATATTGCAGCTCATATTTTCGTAGCAAAAAGGACGTGCGAGAGTGCGTGATAAGGGCAAAGGGTGAAACTGTTCAGCACGGCTGAAACTAGCGCCTGCGCGTTACTAAAAAAATAACTATTGTATTCTCAAATGTTTGAACACCGCATAAGAGCTTCACTGGATACCCCTTCACGGGTATCATATATTGTGTTTGCGCGCACACAAATAACGGATGCTTCTTAACTGAAAGGAACTTTAGGAGCTAGGAATATGTGCTATATATGATACGTTCAAAAAGTAGATAAACGCGGATTAGAAATTCTCGCTCGTTCCCTTTATGTTTGTCCCTTTATCCCTTCTGATGCCTTCCATGCCGTGGGCATTCGTGGCCTTATACAGCACGGCCGAATCAGCCTAATACATTGAATACGACCATTAATTGTGCCTAACTACGCCGCAGGTTGAAAAAACCAAGCGATACGCTATAAGCAAGCTACTTGAGGCGGCTGATGATCTTAAGGCTGTTAATAGTGTTGAGGGTATCGTTACACTATCGTTGTTGTTCTTGTAACTATCGCTAATGCTGTAGCTATAGGCGGTTCCTAATGCTGCCACTCCCGCCGTGCGTGAAGGCTACGCGGTAAAAGCTGCTCTGTGTCGTCATTTTCGTCATGGCTGTAATCTGCATTCATCTCCCTGACGACTGGCGCACACTAAGTCGTGCCACTGTTACCGTTGTTGACGTGGGCAGGTTCTCCTGTATGATTCTATTCGCAGGCAATCGATTACCCGCTAGGTAAACACGGGCGTCAAGACTGTCGTGGTTTTACTGCTGCTGATGCACGCCCAGCCTCGCACCAGCAGAAACAGCAGCAACGGCACAGCCGACAAAAACATTCATTTATGTATTTACGTATGCAGTCTTTTTTCTCTATTCCAAAGTAAATACGTATCACCGCAGCGAGCAGCATGGCCGTGGAAGGCCATCAACCGCGCCGCTGTTGATCCGGTCGCCACCGTCGCCGCCGACTTGTCGCATCGGGGGGTGCTGAGCAGCCTCAGTCGCTTTTCTACGTTTAAGCGAACCGTACAATCATTCGCATTGATCGCTAGCTCGCGTTGTCAACGCTGCGCTATTTGCATGGCGTGATCGCGTCCGAGAGCATGAACTGAGAAAGATTCCGCTATACATACACAAATAATTCAAATGAGATCCCGAGGCTTTGATTTTACATACAAGTTGGGTACAAAGAAAGAGAACGATGCCGAGGCGTAAGGGAGATATCAAAGAAGACGAGTTCAAGCATACAGAAGTAGAGGAACAGACCTTCCTACTTGTGTTCAAAGACTCCATTTGTTCGTTGCTAGCTGTTCATAAACATAAAGGAAAGAAAGACTGCGGCTATAACGTGGAGTCTTGCTTTCGCAAGTGGCAAACATAAAGGACTGCGATACTCGATATGTAAATAGAAAGGGTACAGCCAGGACATTTGCCTTTAGAATGCCTTAAGGCAGGACATACGAGCGATGTACCATTTTCAATGGGTTCCACTTTAGGCGCAATAGGTGGCCTGGCCTGCCATCCAGTGATGATGATGTAGTCTCGTACAAATGATGGAACGTGGCAGCGTAAGACAGCGGTATTGCCAGCGATCGTGAATTCGTCGTACACTTGTACTTCGAAGTACTGCTCCACAACTGAAAACAATGACAACAAGATATTATTAAACGTCTGATTTGCTATTAAAAAAAACAAATACTTTATTCTATATGATGATATTCAACATTTTTAGTTAATTAATATATGGCAGTTAATTCCTCGTAAATAGCGGTGACCATATTATATTCTTGGCGGTGAAAGACGGAGTCAAACGTTGGTTCCTATAACAGTTTTGGTAAGCTTCTGGATAAGCTCAGCTTTCTTGTGGTGTCTCTCGCTATAGAAAGAGACATAGCTGCGATATATATATATATATATATATATATATGTGTAAATGTACGATATCTTGTGTCAATTGCTTATAATAGTAAACTACTATAAGTATATAACTATTTTTGTCACAGCATAATTCAGAATACACGCTGTCTGAGCATTTAGTCTTATCCTATTCGGGCCACAATAGTTTCGGGATTGGTTTAAAGAGTTCTATGTACCGCTGCAAAGAATCGGCAAGAGTTAATGTTCTTCCACATTTTCACGACTCCTTCAGTTTCATTCTAGGATGGACCATTTTTCCTTTTCTAAATACAATTCACGCTCCCAGGCTGGAAGCGTCCGATTACTTGAATAACAGAACTGCACCATAAGTAGACGTGCGGTAATGCTCGGTGTTGATCTACCAGCTAGTGTATTTCTCCCTTAAATATCCTTTCTATTCGAATGAATGCATTGGCTTGGCTCCCGACAGTATTTACCAAATGACCCAGTTTTCCTTTCCTCTGATCGAGGCTGCATTTGTCCTAGACGTTTTCATTGGTTTGGTGATGGTCTGTTGCTCATGGCCTTTTATGTACCAACGGACATAGCAACTGCAGCTTAACGGGAACGAAATAGATGTTTTGTGGATGGCGGCGACGGTCACTGTCATCCGTCACGGCCCAAAGACCTTCCTAGCCACAAATTCGAATAGAATGCAGGTTCAACGCTGACTATGCAAAAAGCTAAACCCCGACCAATTTCAATAAACCGCAAGCCGAAAACAGTGAGCGAAAGGCCGATTTGCAAGACCGAGACGTAGGAAAGAGGCAAGCTTACCAGAGCTCGAATATTAAAGTTCAATGAGCCTGAGTCAAGCGTATGTATATCATTCTAATATTCGTCCATCCAGTTTTCCTGCTGTTTTTTCATCAAGGACACCGTGATTTCAGCTCGTGAGCGCTTCTTGCGACTAGCCAATAAAAAGGCAGGAACGTCATCATCTGTGCACCTCGGGCACTTTTAGTTTTACCTGGTGAATTTATTGATTTATAATTTGCCTTCGAGTGAAAACATCTAATTTTTGTAGAATATCTTATTTTGAGTAGAACACGTTCTATATACTCACGTAACTTTGTTCGGTAGCTGGTTTGCATAACAGCCATATGTAGTACATATATGTACCGGCAAAATATACTCCTCTCACATACAAATATCGGGTTTCCTTTTCTTTCGAGCGCTGCTATGCTGAGGCTAGGAATTTTCTCTTCTGCACCATAAAAAGGCAAAAAGAGGCTTGAATGTCTAATACCTGAGTAAATGTTTCAATATCTTTCAAATAGGGTCGTGGTCGAGCGCCACAGTAGGACTAGCATCGTCTGTTCCAGTGATCCCTGGACCCTAAGTTGGAGGTCTCCGTTAAAATCCTGGTAGCGTCGATGTTTGTCCGCGCATCTTGGACCACTGCTTCCTGCGTCGAAATCGGCAAGCGCGGAAAGATATTCGATTAAAGCCAACCATAGAAGAAAATGAAGTGCCGTGGCGTACATTGAGGCTGGTTGTATCTAGGTTTTGTATCATTGTTACTCGCTGTGTGTTTTAAATTGACTTCTTTTGCTCTCGAAAACTTGCCAGCACAAATTTTGCCCTTGCTAATGCCATGTTACCCTTGGGCAGAGCATGTTATGGATTTTTGTCTAGAGGCGACTGAGTAAAGTAGACGGTTTTGCCGGAAACTGCCGTCCCTCGGTAGCAGGACAAAGTTTGCCCTCGTAGAATCTAAAAGTTTACCAGGGCTCTAGTCTGTATCGTAAAGGAAAAATTGTGGCGCGTCGTTCTGAAGCAGGGACACTGAGTAAACATTAATGTTTAAAGGAAGACAAATAAAGTGACAGAAAGATCGTAGAAGAGTAGAAGGAGCCGGCATTAGAAAAGACGTCCTGTAGAAGCGCTCATGCAACCATCACTTTTATTCGGGCAACCGTGTCGCTTAATCGAAGGTTGGCAGGAAAAAGAAGAGAAGCAATGAGGCAGATCTGCGGGACCGATCTCAGACGCTTAGTGAACGGGCCACATCTCGCCGCATACACTCGAAAATATACCGTTTATGTATGCAGCTGCGATGCGAATGCATCTAAACAATGAACTCGGTAGAGATGAACGACTGCCCAAGCGTCACCATTGAAATAGTTCAAAAAGCTTCCGCGGAAACGACGAGACAGGCCAAGGGAAACCTGTTGCCATAAAAGAAATCGGCTGAGGACCCCAAGAAACGAAGAAATGGGGTGAAATCCACCGACCATTCCTAAGATGATTGCTACATTTTTTCTGCTGCTACTACCAGCACCGCGTCGCAAGATCCTCTTAGGGAAAACATGGGAAGAACGCCTGTGAGGTAGGGCCATGGATAGCAATGTCGACTTTTTCGATGTAGCAGTGGCGGCAACGGCCTCACTTGTAAGGCTTAAAGAAGTCTCTGCACTTCAGCGCTGAGCCTAAGGTTGAACCTCTCTGTAACTACCGGCCCTACTCGACTGTTAGTCTTGCTACCGCTGTGCGTTTGTCGCTGCTAGCAAGGAGCATACACTGTTCATTGCCTCGTTGGGTCGGGCGGTGGCAGTCTATACCATCAAAGGATACAAGGCTATCTAGCCATGGAGTGCGACAGAGTTCACAGCTGTGGGGTATGGTACTGTCGTGCTCGCATGGCAGCCCACGGATGGCTGGAGTAATTTATAAAACCGGGAAAACGAGGCAAGACGAAGGTTGAGAGCTATGATGGCAGATGGGGAATACGGCGAGCGAGAGATGACGACTTCGTCAACACACCCCCTCCCCCTCCGTGCCAGAGTTAGCACGTTTGCTCCTTGCCTCATCGCTGGAACGAGACGCACACACGTGCGACAGACAGGCGCTTGAATAGGAACACTGGAAAAAATTTTTGGTTAGTGATCATCTTCCATCGATTTATTGATAACAAAAACACCTCTAAAGCCGAACCGAGGTCCAGGCCCAAACCCAAGTTGTGTAAGCAACAAAGAGTCAAGAAGGGCAATGGTAACCGCCGTTGACGTCGCTGCTGCTGCTGTTGCCAACTACCACACGAATATTGCTGCTCTTCTCCGTCGATATGGATATAGCATTCGAATAGGACAAGCCTGCTAGGGAAAGTGGCAAACTCTGTGGAAAGAAGGGGAGGCCATTTTCCCTTTGCTACGAAGATACGAAAGAGTCGGACAGCGTGAGAACACACGACTATTTCATCTCTGCACTCTCTGCAACTATATTGGTAGTCGTTAATACTGATGAGAATGTATATGGTCGTTGAAACGAGAATAATAATAGCTAAAAAGATATTAGGCGAGATATTGTAAGTCCATTGCACATTTGCACCACCAACCAAGTCCATTGCATAGATATATAGCTTCATATTTGCGCATTTGGCACACTCGCGTGTATCAGGAGGAGAAGCATCTTGGTACAAAGTCGATGCCTTACTTCAAATGCATCTGTTCAGCTAAAAATTCTTAACAGCCTTTTTATTTTTAACGCATCCCAATATCTAATGTCAGGGTGACCAATTTTTTAAAACGTTACTTCGGAAACGGGAGAAAACATAGCGGCAACCATGTTAAAAATACGGATAATGTTCGCATCAGTTAAGCCTGTATTTGGAACTGCAGCATTCAGCAGCAGTAGCATGGACTCTAAAATATTCCACGACCGGTGCTCTATGTGCCGTATAGGCGTGTTTTATCAGCTGCCACCAGCGTTTGATGATGGTACTCGTCCCAATATCGTCCTTGAATGCTTGGTTAGGTTTGCAAAGAAGGAAAATAGCGTCGTAACGGGACCACCAGAAGGGGTGAAGGGGCTATGTACCGTCTGTATCCGAAATAGTGTAAAAAACTGCCCGTCACCAATGGTGCGACAGAGATGAGATGGTTGCTATCCCAGGTTAACGCAGGTTGCGCTGGGTCAGTTGGTATCTGTCGCCACCAGCGACAACGACAATTGACATTAGTATCCGTTGTAGATCTCGGCCGTACGTAGGTTTGAATAAGCACACATAGAAATGATTGTGGCGAAAGTGACACCTTGGCGTTTCTCAATGGATTTCAGAGGGTCCCACACTTTGTGATGAGCCAGAGAAAGCATTAAAATCAATTATCTGTGAGGAGCATCCGTCAGCGAACCGTGACGGCCTGGCATCGCGTAAACTGGCAGCGTACGAAAAGTGCAGGCAGCTGTGAGCAAAGAAGATAATCAAGCGTATTCAAGTTTATATCTATATACGAAAAGCACAAATATGGGTGTAAGTAACTTGTTTTTGCTAATTGTAGGTTGAACGCTAGACGTATGACTGAATACAATGCGAGTTTGAGAAGCCATTCTGATTTTAGCATCGATTACATGCCAGAACGCCTATATTATATATATAAAGATAATTGTTTAAGAGTTGATTTACGCGATCGTGCAAGATTCATTTCTCCAAAAGGCTTCATTTAATGGCATTCGACACCCTTTCGGTCGGTCGACATCGGTGGCACTGCAGCGTAATGATCACTGCATATAGAGTTCACTCGAGCCTGAATGTTACGCGAATCATTTTGGGTAGTCAGAGTTACTATGTCGCCTTGTGCTCTCTGGGACCCGCCAGAGCAAGGGAAAATAGGGGTAAAGGAGACCACGACTGCTGCAGGCTGCCGAATGACGCGATGGACCGAACGACGGGTGTTTTACGAACATTTCCCGATATCTTGATGCATTTCCAAGGCGATTAGCGCTAGATCGAGATCAAATCTGATGCCAATTCTTCAATTCACTTTGAGGCAGGCTCAGAGTGTTCGCAGTACTCCCTTTTTCCACCATCTTCTCTCATCAGACTCCGCGCACGATTCACTCGCGATGACCCGGTTTGTCTGGCCGACTGAGCGACTAAGCGGCGTGACCATGGGTGAAGTGTCCCAGACCGTCGGGTGAGCGGGTTTATATAGTAAGCCGAGCGGTTTTCAGGAGCGGAGTTAAGGTCAGAGCACTAGGCAGAATGTGGGAGGCATAGATTGCGGAGAATGACAGACCCCACTCTAACACTCCCACGATCCGGCTTGCCCATTAGCGGCGGGTGGGCGATTGTCTGAATACGCTATTTCACTAAAGACCATCGAATTCAGCCTTGATGCGTGAGGTAGATGGTCACCTTCACGTTAAGAACGTGACTTAACACGAACGCAAGTTGACATCGAGCGTTGACTTTCTCACTTGGGTCCAATGTTGAATCTCATGACTTCTACCACTCTTTTAGAGATCGGCTAAAACTGCCTTAGTAATCTTCCGATGAAGTCATAGCAGTAGTAGTAGCATAGTGAGGGAACTCAAGTTGGTAGCAGGCAATCGGCGGGCGTGTTCTCTCTTTCCGTGTCAGGGTCGTTTGGCTCCTTGGTGCCATTTACACAACCGTGTACTGGTGCTGGTAAGTTTGTGCCTGACGGCCAGCGGAGTCCTGCGGTTGATAGAGGTATTCAATTCGAGATCTGCAGGCGGATAATATACCGCTTCGGGTTTAGATTGCTGCGAACTACTTCATGCAAGTCGAGCTAGTCAGGCTGTGCCGCTGCTGCAGCAGCGCGTCAAACGAGGGCCCAGTGATTCAACAAAGTCGGTGGGTTTGCCTGCGATGCTCACGGACCCCATCGTCTTTTTTGCCGTCTCCTTGTAGAGGAGGCGTTTGATTTAAAGGAAGGATTCCGTTTTTCAAATCTCCTTTGCCGTCATGTTCTCGTTTTCAGGAGTGAATGGAAGCTCAGTTTCTTCCTCCCCTTCCCATTCCTCTTCGCCGCTTACCGCTAGTGGTTGTCCAAAAGCCAACTGAGGCGGTGGTCCAGAGCTGCTTTGAGCAGAACTGAATTCTCAGCTCCGAGTGGTCGGGGATGCGGCCCAGTGGATCGGCGACCTACTTCCATGTTGGCAGCGGCGGCAGCAGGTGAGCGAGCAGGAAAAAGAACATATAACAGTCGGAGATCTGCAACGACTGTCAACAATCGGCTTTTGTGCTGTTGTAGCCGCGTTCTTTATGGAAGTACAGAAAATACGCCGCACTTAAGTCCCACTGCTGATTGTGGTACCGCTAATGCTGCCGCTACCGCTGCCGCTTTTGCGATGGCTTGAACCACCGCTATGCCGATTTGGTTCCACAAAGCGAGCACCGGACGGAAGACATGCGAGGTCTCGACAGACGGAGGCAGCGTTAGTATCGCAGTAGCAACTATGGCTGTCGTTACAACAGCCGGCTGGTTTACAGGTGTACATTACCCTTACTATCACCGTCTAACAGTATCGTTCCAGCTTGAGTTGTGCAGCAGCCGCAGCTAGTAGGCCAGTCCACGACTATGAGGATACGCCACGATTGACAAGAACGAGCACGAAGGGATGCTGCACGCTCACTGAACAGCAGGCAGTGCGCTGGTATGTAAAAGCTTCCTCGCCCATGGCCTGCGTTTTCCAAATTCCCCTTGCACTGAAGGAGCTATAAAAATGGCATCATCATATTCGGTTTTCATCAATCATCGCCAGGATGTTTTCCTAACCCCAACTCACACTGCCCACTGGGCAATACGGTAAGCCCTTTTTCCTGAAAGGGTTTCTTCCGCTCATCTTCCCGCAAAGGCCAGCGCACGTTAGCTACAATCGCTGCTGCCGCCGTCGCTATCCAAGGCCTCCCACACGAACGCACACACACGATTTCTCCGCTTGGATGCATTATTTGTGACCTTACGGGCTGCCCACATAGCCCTAGTCTCCCATCAACGGATAGAAAGGCCGCGATCGGCACCCGATGAGCGGGTCAATGCGGATCCTAGCCCAGACCAACTGGCTTCAGCCGGTTGCTTTTACATCATTCAATCGCGACGCAGTAGCTGGCGCGCTGCCACAATTTCTCCAAAACATGGCACAGAGTTTTTAGCAGGACTAGCAACAACAGAAGAAGCGCCATCGTGGACTTAGCGCCAGCAGTCGCCTGGGTCGAGAGCCGAAGAACGGAACTAGAACGAGCCCCATTCCGTCTTGTTCACCCGCCTCCGAAGACACACACCCCTACCCCTCCGGCACGCAACCAACCAACCTTTAAATTCCCCCAACCCTAAAGGCAGCGGCAATCCTTGGCTTCGCCTTCGGTGCTTCGCGTCCTGTTCGTTCTTTGTGGCTACCACAACAACCAAGCGCCTACGCCACCAACGACTTAATAGTTCGCTGACTCCGTTAATGCACAACTGTGGCCGGTGGGTGGCAACAGCACAGGGCATTATCATCCGCCGTCCGTCCCATTCGTCCTGCTCCCAAACTTCATTCCTAATCTGGTAGAAGACTTTTGGCTCTCAGCCTTAACATATCCGCTTCGTCACCCAAACACGTACATAAAAGTTAAACGCAAACATCAAAACGCCGACCGCTTGTGATCGGCTAGTGAGTGACCAGGCTTAAATTTACCTATCAATAGCCACCAGTGCCCGATCTCTTCCACGCCATATGAGAGTGTTACTCATAAATATGTAGACAGATAAATATCTGGATCTGAGGCGCATTTGATTCGCAGAGATTCGGAGGGTCAATTTGGAAAATACCGTTGTTCCTCACCAGAAAGATTTATATAATGACATATACACGAATGTTGAATAGGTACAATCTGAAAATAGTTCTTGTCATCATATGTACCAACACAAATATTATAACAAGATGAGAACTAAGTGATTGAAGATGTATTATTTTAAGCCTTATTTATTGATATAAGCACAAAGTAGGGAAGGAGTGTTTCTAGTGTAAAACGAAAGGACTGGCTTCAGTTCTAGTCTGTCTATAACAGAAGAACTAACGTCACAAATATTCTATAGGAATTTACTAGCGGTAGCTACTGCCACAGGTGCCTCGTTGGACACTTACTGGCAGTAACGTGCACGACGGGACTGGCAACCAATCCGAAGACGTTTGACACCCGACAGCGATAAGCGACATTATGCACGTCGGGCCGGAACTGGATGGCTTGAAAGGGCGGGAAAACAAGGGATCCGTTCGGCGCTATAGTTCGTAGTCGTTCCACCGAAGAGACCTCCTGCTCGAAGCCACTTGATGTCAGTTGGTACCAGCGAGTCTTCGGCGGCGGCTGACCCCGTGTCTCGCAGTCGAGTACGTAGCCCGTTGCGTTTGAGAACTTAACTGATGTCGTCGGAAAGTCACTCACTAGCTGTGGGCCCAGCATGTCGCTGCTTGGTCCGCCACCAGCTGCTGGATCTGCAAATGGAAGAAAAGAATTGGAAGAAATGAGCACAGTAAGATAAATGGGTAAAAGAGTTGTTATTGTAAAAGCCATGAAATGGATTAAGAAAGCTTTGGTTGCTGTGGGCATCGCGCCATCCGACAACCAACCGGATCCGTTTAGAAGAAATGGATGTTCATGAAAATATCATGACCTATAAAAAAAAAAATCGGTTGGTAGTCAGTGAATGAAGGAGATTTGACATTCTTAACGGCCAATATCGAAAACATGGTTTTTAACTGAAAACATGTTCCTTGTTCATTTCCGTCTCCTGCTGATAACACTCATCAGTGTCGCACCAATGCCGTTCAATCATCTGTACTTTCATCCAGTGACGGCACGATATCCTCTAACTTCTTCTGCGCCAACTATTTATCTTTGCCAAGGTATATATTTATATATATATACGACCCGGCGAAGCAGCAGGACTTAGGAAAAAATTTGGGCGAGGTCCTCGGGCATTAGATCGTCCGTAAGGCCTACGTCCTGTGGTACAATGACAAAATTTTCCCTCACATTGCCCTGGCCATGGTTTCCTTTTAGCCATACTACTTAGCTTTAGAGACTGCGCTTACAAGCAACGACCGAGGTCCGTAAGCATCCATTTACATTGAACCAGCCGTCAACGGTCTTCTTTTCGCTCGATATTCTCGATCGGGCGACCGACCGAGCCGATCATGAGTAGCCCGGCTACTTGCACTCTTATCTTGTAGCCTAGTTCAAGATGTTGTTGCTGCACCTTCTAAAGAATTAGAAAAAAAGTGCTTGGAAAAACGCCTCCTGCGAAAAAAAAGGGCAGTGCATATTATTCCTACAAATTCAGGATTTCCTCTAACTAGAGACGAGAGCAGAAGGGGCGGGACGGGGTCGATTACCCGAAGTCTGCGCTGGCTTTCGTAACGCTCTCGACGAGATCCACTTCAATACCCTTGTGCCGCTCGCATGTTTCCTGCTGATCCCACACGCATGATAGCACATGGTGTAGTAGTGCACGGACGACGACCACCGACCACGTCGTGCTGGCCGTCGAGGCAATCGCCATCCGGCGAAACTTTGCAGGGTTGGCTTCCTTAGGCCACTTTAATGGCCCTAGATAGCCCTTTGACCAAACCTGCCAGCTGCCGGCTGAGGTCTTCAATGTATCGAGTAATACGCACAGATAGCGTAGTGGGTTTCACCGGTGGGAGTTCAACCGATTTGAAGTGCTACTACTAGCACTACTGCTGCTACTGCTGCCTCCATGAACGTTACACCTCACACTTAGGGGGTGATTCTGAATTTGAGCTGATAGCCGGCGAAGGACTGAGGAGCAGGATATAATCCATGACCCCCTACTCACCCTATCTGTGTATCACTAAACAGCGAATAAACGAAGCTAAAGTCCTCTGACGCTACGTAGAATTCGAGTCACTCAAGCGATCATTATATATATATATATATATATATATATATATATAATGGACCAACACTTTTTTCTCCAAAACAGAAACGCCTCCAACGTATCCTTACCGAATACGGCCAGGCCTGTCTTGCAGGCGAACGTTCTAAAGGGGTATGAAAGTAGTGCTGTCAGTAAACGAGTTCATCATCAATGATCAGCGTGGCGCTAGCACCGTTTCCGTCGCTACTATAGACCCGATAACTTTATATTCCTCTACATGTCAACAGTAGCCGTTATTCATCGTTGCCAAATACGAAATTCGTTACCGAACAACAAACGACGGCAGAAGGAAAGACGGCAGTCAGTGGAATCAGGAGTGATCGTATCGTATCGTAGGGTTACGTTCACTAGCTCATTCTGTTGTTATACAATTGCGCCTGGCCTTTCGTAACCTCCTCACGATGTGCAAAGCATACCAACAAAACAACAAATACAGAGCCTAAAGGTTTTCAGGCTACACCTGTTAGCCAGCGCCACTACCGTCGCCAAAGCTGCCATCACCGGAAACATTCATAGAATGATGTCGAATGCAGGCCGACCAAGAACTCCAATAGACATAGTGGTAGATTCTCGTGTTCGCTCGGTTTGTCTACCAGCCCTTAAGTATTGTGTATCTTGCCTGCCGGCCTCGTTACCTGGTTTACCCCGAAAGCGACTGAAAGCGCCGGCCCAATCGTCCTCGATGGGAATGCGTTTCCCCTCAGCTCCTCTTTTCTGTTCGTGCAGCAACACGAGGCTCATTTAGGCAATCCAGCCCAGAGCGATCCTTTCGCAGAGCCTGTCCTTCTACTTTCTCCCTCTATATCCTCGCACCGCTGCCCTCTTACCTGCTTACCAACCAACCATTGCGGGTAAGGATGGTAATTCCACACCAACAACGCTGCTTTTGGCCTATGGGTAGCCCTCTTGTTGCTCTGACTGAGTCGGTGCAACCAGTAGCCGGCCAGAGGCCGCTGCTAGCCTGCCTAACCGCCAACCATCCTTCCTATCAACGTGTGCACACACCACGTTTAAAGCAATGCAACGAATGTGGGGCGTCTCTTGCTGCGCTGCTATGGTATATGTGAGTGTGTACGTGCTTTGGTCTGTCGACGGCATGTACGCCGGCTTAGCAACGATTTGGCCGGAATCCGCTCCGGTTTTCGTTAGGTCCTAACGAGCCGGTGGTCCTCTAGATCTGTTCTGTTCCATGGAAAAAAACTGACTTTTCAGACCCTTCGGATTGACGCTCTTCTCCTTCGCAGCAGCAGCAGCAGCAACAACGATAATAACAACGAAGTTTGAAAAGAACGCAATACTCACCCAAGGCAGAACAGTCTTCTCCAGCATATTCTAAACCACCCTATTGGTCTCGTTGATGCATCCATCATAACACCTACGCCAGAATAGCGAACCAGCACAATTATACATTGATATATGCCTATCAGTCTCAAAAAATGCTGTATGTTATTTTTTGTGTATTTCATAACTGGGGTGTTTGTCTGTTTACTGCATGAACTATCAGCTGATCGAGCGATACGGCGGCATAAATTAGACAGCGTAGTAGGTCGACGATTCGTTAAAATGTTCTATTTATTTCGCTAATGCTTCAATATCCTGTTGACACATATCGGTGGAAATGAAGTAGATGGCGGTTACAGGTAAAATAAACAGGCTTGCTGCTAATTTCTATTGCTTTAGATTAACTTATTATTTATGTTTATCTGATAGAAAATTATTTTAATTTCCGTCTAAAAATCGATACTACAAGAAATTGGCATGTTCATAAGACGATATATAGAGCTGTAACTGGCTTTCTGCGCTTCGTTAGGCACCAGACAACCTTTTATGCAGTGATATAGACTACATATGTACTTATGTATTTTTGCATCAGATCAAATCAAGTCTAAGGTTTCAGTGCTGCTCATATTATCTTGTCTGTAATATATATATATATATATATATATATATATATATATATATATATACATATATATGTGTGTGAAGGCAGAGTGGGCTAAGATGACACGTGTCCTATTTGTGGCCCGTAAAACCTGTGCCCTAATAAAGTTAAAAAGATTGGCTGTTGGCTAATTGAAATGCATATGCGTACGTAAAAACTATAAAATGATAACGAAAAGCGTCTCGGCTTAACCCAGTGTTCCAATAAATTGTGACTCTAAATCAGGTGAGTTGAGAAAAACTTGCAGTCGCTATATATTTCGATTATGAATGAATTAAAGTCAAGAGAAGAACCCGCCGCTACATTTCTTTCTAGTTTTTATCGATTGATAACATAGGGTAAATAGTTTAATTTACAGAAGGAATCCATCTCATCATTGGCTAAGGCAGCGTTATTGAACTTGCCATTGTATAAAGACATTAACAACCTACAGGCAAGAGAAAAATTCGAACGGAAAGGATGTTGATAAACTGAAACGCGAACAGCGCTACGACGTTGTAGCGGCAAATTTCAAATGTCAGCTCAGCGCTACCCGTATCGTAAATTGCAACTGTGAGAATATTGAATCGAGTTTAGTCTCTAAGTAAAAGATGACCCGGTATTTTTCAACGTTCAATTCACTTGCGATGCAGATTACCGCACAGAGTAATATTACTAGGATACTACAAAAACTGTGGTGCGGGTATGATGATTCTGATGCAGAAAATTACAGGGCGGATTGAAGAACTGGCCTCGTGGGCCTCTTGACTTACTTCGCCTCTATGCGTCGAATTTTACGGCCAGTGTCGCCGTTAGGCCATTCCGTTCGATGGCTAAATCCCAGCACGAAACGAACTGTGCTTCTGCCCGGATTCGAACCCGGACCAAAGCCGTCTCAAAGATTTGCAGGCAAATACGTTACCCACAAAGCTATCAGTGGGGATTACTTCATCTAAAATGAGTCATCTCATCTGAATGCCATCTTTTAGACATATCTCAGTGAAGAACATGAATTAGATGAATCAAAATATGGGTATCGCTGTAAACATAAGGAATACGCGTTGGCTGACACTAACTATACACTCACATAACGATTTAACACAGTATGATAATCAAGTAACAGTTAAAACAATAATTTGTGGCAAATAGGCTGGCAAATAAAAAAAAAAACACATTTGCGTATTGCATAAACTTAAAAGCCAAGTTGTGACTTCAACTTGACCTTACGTTGTGCTACTGCAGAGTTTCTGGCAAGGATGCTGCAGCATCGCTGTTAAGAATAAAGGTATATTGAATTTAGATTAGAAAATATACCTAAAAATACATTTAGATTCTAACTTTTTTTCAGTTTTATCAACACAAGGCGCACAAAAAAGACATTAAAGTTACGGAAGATGTTAGGAAACATTTGCAAAGCAGTAGCAGTACACGTTACGTTGGATTAGACTTTCCTTCTTCCGATTGCACAGATCACACGCAGTTCAGCAAAAGCCGCTTTTTTTTTCTCATTATTCCTTAGCCTAATCGAAGCTCCGTCTTCCGTATGTCTGTCCCCTCCGCGCTAGGTCCCTTCTACGGCTAGTTAGCTTGCTGGCCTATGTGAGCCACGAGAT